AAGAGGGAAGCACCAGCCAACAAAAGAGGGGCTTGCGACCAACAAAGAGGCTGGAAGAAAAATGATGCGGTGCCGTATACCTTCCCCAGCAGGGAACCACAGAGTCGGTTCTCTTTGGCACCACGCCACCCCAAACTCGGATTCGACGTCATCACTGATCACCACTCCGGGCTGTTTGCATGGTACCGCCCACGCAAGCTACATGTACCAGGAACCGCCTGTTCGTTTTCGAGTATCTCACCCATCGGTGTCATCGCACCGGGGTGCGTTCACTCAGCACCGTATCATGGCCACTGTAAGTTCTCCAAATCGCACCCATCGGTGTCATCGCACCGGGGGTGCGTTGGAAATCTAGAACGAAATGATTTAATTGCATTTCCGTACCGGTATCGGTGTTACGGCACCCATCGGTGTTATTTAAGGCACCGTGGTGTGGTAAAAAACCAACATAGGAATGACATAAACAACGATCGCACCCCGGGGCTATCGCACGCACAAATACGGTATAGTACAATCAAAGTGACATCTACAACACGTGCGAGAATAAAACCTTCTCAATCGACCCCGCCCGGTTGTCGACCGCCTATACACATCTGGGTACTCCAGGCCCCGAGCCCTCCCTCCAATGGTTCATGACTGTTCGGAGAGTAGCTCTGTCTCAGCACACGTGCCATGATACGAGGTGAACGGCGCGGCAGAGAGGCGGACGAAAGTCATAATAAGATCTAGAACTGCGGAGAAGATCGTTTTCTCAACGAAAGGTTCACCTGCCTCCCTAACACCCCCGCCCGGTTGTTGAGCAAGGTGGCAACTGTTGGGTGGTCAGCACCTAGCGCTTCTCCCAAATCGCGGTGGACCGCCCATACAACGGCTCGGTCTCAAAATACTTCCCATGGAATGGAGTCGACAGCGTGATAGGGTCGTGTTGTAGCACAAGGGTTGTAAACCTGTGGAGGGACATGGTTTTTCTAGATGCTTCTAGAAGCACCGCTTGACTCTCACCTGAATCTCCAATAACTCCGCCCCTGTTGTTGAGCACTACCGAAATCTATCGGGTAGCACAAGAAACTTGCTAGAATTTCCTGATGGCTCTCACCTGCGCTCTCAACAACTCCCGGTTGTTGAGCGACTGGGCCACGTCTGGATGTTCTGGACCAAGTACCTTCTCTCGTATGGCTAGAGATCGCTCATAAAGTTGTTCGGCGTCGTCGTACTTGCCCTGCATAGCAAGAAGTGGGTTATGTGAGGGAGCGGTTCGCCAGGGTCTGAACAGATACATGGACACGGTAAACCCTACGAAAATTCCTGGAAAAATCTGGTGGCTCTCACCTGTGCCTTCAACAACTCCGGCGCGGTTGTTGAGCATTTGTTCCGCATTGAAGTATCTACTATTAAAAGCTTTGACAACACTTCTTCCTGTCGTGCCTTTCCTTCATGTTTCAGGGCAAGTACGACAAAGCTGGGCCGCTGTATGAACGTTCCCTTGCCACTCGCGAGAAAGAATACGGGCCTGATCATCCAGACGTGGCCCAGTCGCTCAACAACCGGGCTGTTGTTGGAGAGTCAGGTGAGAGCCGACAGAGAATGTTAGCAAACTTCTTGTGGTACCCGATAGATTTCGGGTGTGCTTAACAACAGGGAGTTGTTGAAGAATCAGTTGAGAGCCATCAGAATTTTCTGAGAAATATATTGTGGTTTTCTGTCGATGTTGTAGCGCTCAACAACCGGGCGGAGTTGCTGAAGGCACAGATGAGAGCCACCAGATTTTTCCATGAATTTTCGTAGAGTTTACCGTGTCCACGTATCTGTTCAGACCCTGGCGAACCGCTTCCTCACACAACCCACTCCTTGCTATGCAGGGCAAGTACGACGACGCCGAACAACTTTATGAGCGATCACTAGCCATACGAGAGAATGTACTTGGTCCAGAACATCCAGACGTAGCCCAGTCGCTTACACCACCCCACTGCTTCCTCCACAGGGCGAGTACGAGGAAGCCGACCCTCTCTATCTGCGAGCTTTTAAGATTGGGGAGCAGACGCTAGGCCCTGACCACCCAACTCTTGCCACCAGACTCAACAACCGGGCGCCACCCCACTGCTTCGTCCACAGGGCAAGTACGAGGAAGCCGACCCTCTCTATCTACGAGCTATTAAGATTGGGGAGAAGACGCTAGGCCCTGACCACCCAACTCTTGCCACCAGACTCAACAACCGGGCGGCCCCAGACTCAATAACCGGGCGGCCCGGTTGTTGAGTCTGGTGGCAAGAGTTGGGTGGTCAGGGCCTAGCGTCTTCTCCCCAATCTTAATAGCTCG